CTTGCTAAAAGAATGCAGACGACCAGCTGTTTGCAAAGAGTATAAATCCTTCCTTTCCCTACCATCCAATTGGAGCTGAAGAAGCTTCTTGGATGAGAAGTGAAACATCTTGAAAAAAAAGAAGAAAGTCCAGTTGTCTCTTTAAAAAAGCACCTTTGGGACAATACTGGACAATCATTTCTCTGGAATGGTACAGGGCAGTGATAAGTCTACTGCTATTGATAGATAACCTTTTTGTTGTTGGGTGCCAAAAATGCGAGCGCGTGAGTGCAATAGCGTGCATGCATGCCGGCACCCATAATGCAAAGTGCCCCCCACATGCGCATATGTGCACAACCTCCCCCCCATACCTCCCCCACACACCACACTGCTTGTCTCCAAGCTGAGCTTGGTATTTCCTCCGGGGGGGCTGGAAAAGGCTGTTTTCATCCTCCCCAGGCTCCAGGAAACTCTCTGGAGCCTGAGGACGGTGAAAACGGCCACCCTTGCCCGCCCCGGAGGCCCTCCAGAAACTGGAAATGGATTGTCCCAGAACTTCCAGTAGGCCTGCTGCAATGGTTGGTTATGGCTGGTACACCCAGTGCATGCCGATGCAAGCTGGGAGCCCCAGGTACCATTCCGGTACGGTGCTTTGGAGGGCCTGTCTGCCTGCCCAACCTCATTACTCGTACCTGACCCAATTGGGCCATTTGCACACGCGCACACGGCATACAGCACCTGTGCGACGCTTCACTGAGCAGCTGGAGCATTGGTGGGATTCAAGTAATTTAACAACTGGTTCTCTGGCCCAATGACCAGCTGGGTAGACATGACTCGGTGGTCATGTAACTGTGTGGGCATGGCCCATTCACTCATGTTGATGGGTGCTTTGCCTTAGCTGTTGCAATGTAATAAGGCTTAACCGGAGAGGCAGTTTCTGTAAGCAGGGCAATCAAGATCAGGCTAGAAACAACACCAGAATGTTTCCTTCCTGCCTTCCTTACAGGATTAGCCCTGTAAAGTGGGGAAAAACAAAATAAGATTTCTTTCAACAACCGGTTCTCCAAGCTGCTTAGAAAGTCAACAACCGGTTCTCCTGAACAGGTGCGAACCGGCTGAATCCCACCACTGAGCTGGAGCGTCACAGGGTTGTGGTGAATATGCGTGCACAGCTTGCGTGCACGTGATGGACGCCCGGCCCCATCGCAGCATACCAGTTGTGACAAGATCTGGAACAGACCACCACTGGCCCTTTGGGCCCATTTTTCACCCTCCCCAGTTACCGGATGCTTTCCTAAAGTCTGGGA